GGGGGGGGGGGGCTTTCCGTGCATCACCAGCCACTCCCTGCATGGCTCTCCCTGATTTACCAGTGCAAGACAAGGTAGTAAGACAAGGCCATTCATGTGCTGGCATCAAATATATGATATTTTTCAAGCAATTTGAGATTTTAAACTGTTCATGGATAGCAGAACTAGCATTAGAACGCTAAAACAGTAAAAAAAACCCCTCTCATATTTCATAATGTATGTCATAATGAACAAAAGCCTTTAAAAAAAAAAACGGTTTTCACTGTGCTAAAGTAACAATCTAGACTTGTTGTAAGTATGTTATTCTTACAAGTAGTTCGCAGTTATTCTTGAAGGCAAGTCTTGGAGTTTCCTTAGCATAGTGCTGCTGGGGAAAATTTTCAGCATGTCCATCTTCATCTCTAGCCTGAAGGGAAATATAATGGCCTATTTAGGGACTTACAAATAATGGAAGGAAAAAAATAGCTAAAAGCATAACAGCTCAGATCATTAAAACAGACGGGAATCCCAAAATACAACATTATTAAAAAGTTTCTTTAAATAATCAGTACACCTTTTAGATATGAGAACTTGGGATGCTGTTTTCTTACATAGCTTAGATTGAACATGCAAATTCATTGTGGAGTAATAATTAGAACAACAAAAGACAAAACCAAAATTAAATATTTGAGCTGGAAACTGAGCAACTCAGGGTTTCAATTTACTCCATTGCATTTTTCAGGATTACATTACATATGTACTCGTTTAAACTTATTGACATGCTTAAGCAATCCCTGGATAATGTACTTGTATTTTCATTTTAACAGTAAGGCCAAAAAGGAAAAAAAAAAAGTTTTCATACTCATAATTTACATGTAATACTATTACAAATAAATGGATTCCCCCTCCATGTTTAAGTGAAGCTTTGAAAGGAGAAATCATCCAGTGAGAACAATGATCCTTTAGTCAAACGCGGTCAAAATATTTAATGACAAAGATGCATTAAAAGTTACTGGTTATTTGTAACTACACTGTTAATTAAGAAAGCTGAAGTTTAAATGGAGACATTACCAGAGCCCATTAGCAATCCTGCTTGCATATAGTATTTTTCCCTTCTCATCTTGAGCATTTTCTGCTTTTGAGTTAAAGCAAAAGGGAGAAGCAGGTGAAAGGAGGAGTGTCAGCAATACACTCATTACACTGTTCATTTGAGTGACACTTGCACTCCGTTCCGCTCCATCTCATCTGATTCCTGACTGTTCGCTCTCTCCCTCTCACAGCCTCCCAAAATTCACAGCTGAGCTGTCTCCCTCACATATGGCTTGCATATAATTATGCACATTCCATTTTACACTGCATTAAAATGATGAGCTCCTGGCTCCCTGCCAACCTATTTAAATCAGCCCCTGCCCAAAGAAGCTGGGGAGAGGAGGAGGGCAGAGGCAGGGTGACCGGATCAGGGCGAGGGGTGCGGGCAGGGGCAGCAGGGTGAGGAGCAGGTAGCCCTGCTGCCCATCCCTCCTGCTGCCCCATGTGTATTCCCGGGGCAGGGGTGTCCAGGGATGCCCAGGTGCGATTTGGGCACACCTGGGCTCCTGTGGCAGCCCTGGCACATTGCTCACCCCTCGTGTGCGAGAACTGCCTGTCGTCGCGTGTCACGCGCCCGACACTCAGGCTTTTCAGCGCTGGCATTTAGGAAAGATATTTACACCTTGCAGGCTCTGCGACTTGTTTGTCTTCAAACAGGCTTCTGCCTCTCACTGAGGAGAGGATTGGGAAAGGGGAGAGGTGGGCTAACAGCACTGTCCTTTTTTAGGAAAACATGCAGGGTCTGCACCTCAATGAAAGCCCCTTGACTCCAGCAGGTTTTGACTCGGGCCTCAGCCATGGGGCGTGAACACACTTTGCCCAATAGAAAATTCCATTTTTAACAGTGCAAAATTTGTCCAAAGGTGTATTTTCAGAAGTACCTAACATTGATGATTATTACAAGAACAGGGAAGTAGGAAAAAAGTTTATTCTGTATGTTTCCTAGCAGTTTATAAGTATTTTCTTTCAATGCCCTCAATAGTTGTGGGGTGAAAAATGTTTAAAATTTTGCTTTAAAACCACAAGAAAGAGGACTCCTGAGAATCTGAAGTCACTTGACAAAGGTTTAAATGTATTCTTCTAATTATTAGTTTGAAACTGAAACCTCTCTTACACACTAAATCTACCTCCATGCTGTGTGGATCACAAAGTTCAAATCTGACCAGTTTTCCCAAGGAAAAAACCCTCAATATTCTCATTTTGAAAACAAACTTTGCCCTTTTCTTTCCTCCTTGAAGGAATATGTGCAACACACTGAAGCTCTTCCAGGTCATCTAGAAGACAACTAGGGGATGAATTGCATTAAAAATGCCTTGGACAAATAGAAACAGACCTGTCAGCTTGGGAAAACAGATGCCAATGGGATGCTCAGTGATGGACAGCTAGGGAGATGCTGGTAGGGCACAGGTGTTGTGTGGGGCTCTGAACGCTGTTGGTGCCCCCAGACCCTGAAATTGTATCTTGGCACCATGCAACACATTGTGCATGTGATGGCTGGCACATTGTAACCTGCCAGTGACCCTCTGGAGTGTTATCTTGGTGCACGCACACACCTTGTAAAATGAAATGGGTATCAGGGTGTTTGCAGTGCATCTGTCAAAATACAGAGACAAACCCCACTGATCTTGGCCCTCTTACCAAAATTGCCAGTTACACAAAGGTTACTCACCCCTGCTGATGTCAACATGCTCCTGCTCCTACTGATCTAAACCTTGCCTTATTTAATTTTGGATGTCACTAAAATTTCCTAGTCTCAAAACCTGTTTAGCTACATACTGCCATAATTTGCTCAGGCAGCAGAAATACACCTAATTTAGCTAGCTGATTTCCATTGTAAAAAACACCTATTCTGAGCAGTCAGGACTAATTCTCCAATATCTTTACATTAATTCATTACTACCATCTTCCACTTGTAAATAATTTAAAGAAAGAAACACTCTTACAATGTTCATCACTGTTCTAAGCATATTAAAAAAGTGGCTCAGAATTTATCTTGCAATGGTAATATTGTGATGCATCTGTGCCTACACTGACCCACTCTCAGTCACTGCTGCACACCTCGTGACTGCCTCGGTTCCCCAGCATCTCACTCACAGCAAGCTGGCATCTACAGCTTTGCCATCAGGCCTGGCTGCCATGGGATGCTACTGTCCAAAAGAAAACAACTACAAAAAAAAACCCAAGCCAAATCTGTGATCACTCTGATTTTTTTTAAAAATGCTTTAATACTACTAAAATTATTATAAGAGTGCTCTCATCAAAAAATATATGTATTAGCTGCTAGATGTGATTGATTGCATACATGTAATAAATGGGACAACTGCTCTTACAGCACATTTTGTTCCAGGACAAAAAAAGGCATCAGCTCGTGTTCTGAGGCCTGGAACCATGGTTAGCACTGCTAGTTTTATCAGGGCAAAACTGCTGCAACTTCACTGTGGCAGTGCCTCTCCTGGGATTTACTGAATCTCCTAATTCAATACCCTCTCCTGGCAGACAGCCACCTTCCCGTCAGCTGCATGGGATCCGAGAGGGAAAGCGGCCCATCGCCAGCCCCTGGGGACAGCAGGCTGGACACCTGACAAGAGCAGTGGCACAAACACACACATACACACACACCTCACTGCTGCTGCCAGACTAGAGCACACTGCCTGAGGAGCAGGGCTGGCAAAGATGACCTAGTGGGGAAACTGCAGTTGACTTGGTGCAGGTGCAGTTGACTTGGTTTGGCTGTAAGGTCAGCCTGATAATGGGATGTGTGGGAAATCATGGCCTTTAATTGCAGGTTAGATATCAGGAAGCCCTTCTTAATGACAGGTACAGCAAAGCACTAGAGCAGATTGCCTAAGGAGACTGTCAAAGCCCCATCACTGGAGTTTTTTAAGAGCAGCTTAGGCAAACATCTGCCAGGAATGACACGCATGGAGTAGCTCCTGATGTGGGGAAGCTGGACAGATGAGAGCATCTCCATTCCTAGGTCTCTTTTTTCTCTGCTTTCTACTGCTGAGCTCTGAAAGAAAATGGCAGGAGGCTAAGGAAAAAAAAATTAAAAAACTAAACCAGAAAACAGGATCTGAGAGGATCTCTCTGAAAATAGCACAGCATTTGATGTTCAGAGATATGTGTACTCATTAATAAGTGCATGATGACAACTATCTTTGGCTCCAGAAACTGTGCTATTTGTTCGTAAGTCAGCCAGCCTATATTTGTGAAAGATGCCAATAGTTTGGAAACAGACTATATATTCAGTCAAGATTCCTTTTTTTAACACAACAGAGGAAGAACAATCTACAGCAGAATTTCCTCCTCTCCAAAGAATGTGGATATTTGTTTCTCCTTTTTCTCAGAGAAAAATTATCTTGATCCAGACAGAGGATCTCTTAGCTTCAGTGTAAGTCTTTTTATGCAGCTTTAGCCTTGGGAGAGGAAATCTGTGCTTACATTTTAATATTAAGGGTGGGATCTTATGATAGTATAAGTCACAAGGTAGGTTGAACCAAATAATTTATTAAGATGGAACTTGTTAATGCAAAGCTTCCACTAAAATGTGACAATGCATTTGCAAAAAAAAATCCTACTGCTTAGTCCACAAAACTCTAATGCCACTTAACCAAAAACACTAACATTAAGAGCAACAGTCACAGGAGTAAGGCAGAGTGACAGAATATTAGTCTGCTTACTCGGGATAAAATTGCCACCTAATTTCCATAAATGTCCTTTGAAACAGATGAAACACGGGAATGTTACCCCCAGATACATTAAAGGCAGCAGGCATTAGCTGAATGTCTGTGGTAGGACAGAGAATAAGCTGCAAGGAGCTGAATAGCGTTGCTATAGAAGTGCAGATAATTGAGTCGAGGCTCCTGTCCCGTGGCGATGAACAGAGGAAATTTACATCACCCTTAATACTATTGTCTCCAGAGGCTGGCTGCAGATGGGAACTGAAAGCTCTGTTTCCGTTTCCACCACAAAGGTTATCTCTCCTTTCACTGAAACTCGAAGGAAATCCTTGGGGAGACCCTAATCCTTGAAATTCCAGTTCCTGTGCATTTCTGTTGTCCCAGATAATCAATTATCATGCTCTCTACATTCACTGTACCAGCAATAGTAAAAATAGTACTAAACTTCCACCTGCTGGGTATATTTTTCCCAGAAATATGAACATGCTTGCTGTGGGCAGGGTGGTGGGGGAGCCCAACATCAGGGTCCTGGCTGGTGGTGCTGTGCTGGGAATGGAACGGGGCCAGGGGAGATGGTCCAGAGACGATGTTCCCTGGTTCAGCAACCACACAGTTGCAAGTGGTTGCTCACACAGTGAGCAAGCCCTCAGCTCA